TAACAAGAGCTGAGGAAGTCTGTTGCCAGTCTGCTGGCATATTGCGCGCATTTTGCTTACTGGGCACATAGACAACTCTTAACATTAGATTATATAGATTAGATAATTTTAATCATTAGATTAGATAATAAAATTAAATGTACCTATACTCAAAATTCGATGTTTCATTGCTCGGGTGGAGATTCATCATAATTGGAAATTCTCCCAAAGAACAGCAGAGACTGTTTTTAATTATGATGATGACGTACATCGAGTTCTATAAAGATATGTTCACCCAGTTGACTTGTACAAGTTATTAATTTTCCTAAACATCCGTCGCGACAACTTATGTTATATATTGGTGACCAGAATCCCAACGCTTCTTCCAGCGCTCTAAATCCTTTTTTGGAGATGTTGGTGTGATTCGGTGCTATTGTAGAATGGTAGATGATTCGTTCGGCTCGGGTTTGTTTGCAATATTTGTTTAATCAAGTGGCGATGTTATTTTCCGCGTCGATTGTATACGAGAAGATCTTATTTGTGATGTGTTCTTGATTCGTGGTTTTTTGTGTTTTTGGCATACAACAATCGATTAAAATTTGTGCTTTTTGAGCCAACAAATTCTTTTTCTTGCGATCAATGTTTTTAACAGTTTTTAATGTTGTCAACAGAATTACTGGCATACGATGCCGTGCGTCTGCAATGTTCCTGTGGAGGTTGCTGTCATAGTGGTGAAGCAATTCATTCATCTTCTAAGTACTGACGAACTGCCTCGATGGTCAAATCAAATATGGATCATCGTTATCGATCCCTGCTGTCACTAGTATTTGGACAATGGAATCGAATGAGCAGGTATTCTGTTTCTGTTTCAGTATTCTGTTTGTTCTTTATCAATACATAAAAATCTCAGCACTATACTTAAATCCAGTGTAAGTTTCTTCAGATTTAGCTATCAAAAAAATGTTTATATTTGCTTTAAACTTATATTTACTACCGAGTCTTGGCTTTCAATTTAGCAGATTTTAAAACAGAAAACTGAAACCTTTATTAAAACATGAGATTTTTGTCAAACTCCCAAATGATTATTGTTAAGAATAATAAAAAAATATTCAGTATCAACTCAGTGCCGCTGACCTTTTAATGTCTGTTTAAAAAATTAGTAATTTAGTACAAATAGCAAATAAATGTAAATAAACTACTACTACGTAAGAAATCTAAATAATAATGTTTGTCGCTACATTTTAAATATTTATCTTAATTAATTTTGAATTTAAGGTGATTTAAATACTTAAATGAATAAATTGTTTAATGCTTAACCGACTAAAAAATAATAGATTTTTCTTGCGATCAATGTTTTTAACAGTTTTTAATGTTGTCAACAGAATTACTGGCATACGATGCCGTGCGTCTGCAATGTTCCTGTGGAGGTTGCTGTCATAGTGGTGAAGCAATTCATTCATCTTCTAAGTACTGACGAACCGCCTCGATGGTCAGATCAAATATGGAAATTAATGTCAGTTGCTTTAAAGGACTTAGGGTATGAATGGGATTTTCAATGCGTTTATACAAATGTTGTGAACGACAGAAGGAACATCTTGACCAAAGCGAGAGAAGAAATGGGAATAATAATGCAAAAAGAAGACTGCAACAACAATTTTCAGGATGAATGCAAAGATTGCGACTTTACAAAAAGTCACAAAAGCAGTGATTCGGAGAGTAGCTTCGACTCAAATTTCAATCATAATGAGTCAATCAAACACATGATTCTCACAGAAGAACAATGGATAGAAATAAAACCAGCAAATTCAGACACTCATCTTAAACTGAAACCAGGCGTGTGGACTAATGTTATAGCTTTTGCTATGTGTGGTCGCAGTTCCGCATGCCTTGCGCTTTTATATTTAAACGAGGAAAAATTCAAAAAACTATGAATGAATTACATGTCGAATTTTATACCATTAACTTCGTTGGCGTTTGTAAAAGCAAAAAGTGTGGCAATAACATTAAAGGATTAGGTACAAAGAAAATCAATGAAAACGGTGTGAGATTTTCTATTAATACACACGATACTCGTGCAGAAAAACATGACATTGTTAAACGACCGTTTAATGGAAAAAGGAGAATTGACGCATATCATGTTTTAAACAGTGAAGGAAGTGAGAAATACAGAAAACGTGAGGCACAAAATTATATGTTACCAGGCGATATAGAACCCCCAATTATACCACGGACAAACGTTCTTCGTCAAGCAAAAAAGGAAGCATTCGACAAAGACCTTGATCTTAGCAAACAAGACAGTCGTGATCTTGTCCGTTCGATCGAGGAAATGAGCTTGAGTCCTCAATATCATGGAGCCATTCAAGAAGTCGGTGGTTTTCCGTTTCGAGTATTGTATGGATTACATGTGTCAGATTAAAATATAAAATAACTCAAAAAATACTTAATGAAAAAATACTTTATTATAATGTTTTGGAAAGCTTTCGAGAAAGGCTACAAGAATATGCAATAAAAAGTAGGCAATTCCATTAAAAAAATTCAATTTGACCTTGATCTGACCTTGGCAACGCCATCCAAGGTCAAACAGCTATTACCGTTGAATGCGTCTTTTTATGTCTTACAACTTTTGTCTGAAATATTTTTCTCTAAAATGCAACGTTTACGAGATATTTGAGTGTGTCCAGACTTTTGACACAACCTGTATATGTTACAAATAATTTGTAATATAATTTCTGCCTGTTTATCGTCCAAAACAAGTGGGTTAAACAAAGATGTATAAAATTTTGAGATGCTTCATGACCCCATAGCTTTTTGAGCCGCTACTATCCACACATTGTCTTGTCTCTTTCTACGGCTGCGGTAGGGAAGACGCTAGAAATGCTTCGAAGCATTAACCAATCAGGATAAACAAATCTTTACTCTTTTTGTCCTGATTGGTCAATCAAACGCTTCGAAGCATTTCTAGTGTCTTCCCGACCGCAGCCTACGTCTGTCAACACGGTTTCGGTTCCATGTTCCATGCTCCATCCAGTATTATATGTCGATGAACAAGAGAGAGGCAACTATGATTTTCTTTCTCACTTCCTCCGGACGTCTTTTTTTTCGAGAACAATAGTCATTCCTCTTCCATTTATATATGTTCTAAGCCAATCACAATTATTTCATCTTTCGGAGGATCTTTTTTTAGACTAGCCAGACTTTATTTTGAAAACGTCCTAAAGTCGTCTAAATAAAGTCCTTCTGTAACTTGTATTAAGGTTATATCCAAATAGCAAAATGACCAATTGGAGGTCCTATATTATTTCACGAGATCCAATAAACAGCAAAAATTTTTTATTTTTTATGTATTATATTGAACAATATTAAATTAATTACATAATTGAAAGTAAAATGAAACAATAAAGGCTCTTATGAATATTATACAAAAGTGATGAAAGTGAAGGAAAGGCAATTAAGAGCCAGCGCGGTAATTTATGCGCAAATTTTATAATCAACATATTATATTAACATAAAAAGCGCTTTTTATTATTAAATTTATCGCTACTTTGTTATGTTAATATAATTCGATTATAATAAAATTTGCGCACACAAATTATCGCGCTGGCTCTTAATTGCCTTCCCTCACCTTCGTATAATTACCCAGATAGCAAAATGCTAGCAGTATGCCAGCAAATTCAATCATGACTTCGTAGCAGATTCCGCTCTGCTGCGTTCTCATTAAGCTTAATTTCTGGCAGCACGGCTTGCCAATATAATATAACAGAAAATGGAGCAAAAATTGAGTATTATTTGCTATTACGTCGTGACAACAGATATGTAACAAATATCGAGCGAAGTCCGCCATATCAGATCTGACGGCAGAAATGCGGCAGATATCAAGCATGGCCTGTCGTTACAACGTGATGGCAGAAACGCAGCAAAAGTCGAGCATTGCCTGCTGTCATGTGACGACGAAAACACAGTAAAGATAAAACACGCCTGCAAAGCGTAATTACTAATATAGATACAATAAAATTTGAATATTGGCATAGTTATAAATAATTAATTAAATATATAAATTTAAATAAATGATTTAATTTATTAATAATTCGTACATTTCAAGATTTGTATAGAAATTGAACTCTTTATTTTGTTTCAAAAAGTCAATAAATGGACAATTTTTTATTGATCCACTCACTTTTCAATCTTTTAGTTTAATATTCTGAGTCCTTTGTTAGAATTCAGAAATTAAGCTGATAAAAATAGATATTATGGCTCCTGAACACAAG